CATATATTTCGTCTGTCATAATCTGGATCAATGTTGTATTGAATGATGTTTACACAAACATACTTATGTTGTGCTACTTTCATCACTACTTCTCAACCGCGGTTAAACCTGCATCATGCCGAAGCGTGGTGAGTTCCTCGTTTTGTTTTACATTATACTTGATGCATAACCTGTTTCGTCCTGATTGTATCTGTAGTTGTCTATTTAACTAGGAAGGGGTGGTTCATCTGGTGGAAAGTTCCGTATTTCATTGGCTCTTCCTGTTGGAGCTATAATGAACTGTGCTGACAACAGTGGTGCTAAAAATTTGTATGTAATAGCTACGTTTGGTGTTCGAGGTCGCTTAAACCGTCTTCCATCGGCAGCAACTGGTGACCTCATTGTTTGTTCAGTTAAAAAGGGGAAACCAGAACTAAGGAAAAAGGTGTTATATGCTGTAGTTGTCAGACAACGTAAGGCCTTCAGACGAAAAAACGGAGTATTCATTTATTTCGAGGATAACGCTGGCGTGATTGTCAACAACAAGGGAGAACTTAAAGGTAAAGATTAAAGTATTTTACCTCCTTTTCACCGTTGAGTTCAGGGTCATCTTGCCCTTTGCAGGTTTATTCACGTTTAGATTGGTATGCTTCCGTTAACTAGAAAAATCCGGTTATAAGGTATTTGCAGATATAACGGCATGATCTAGCACAGGATTGCGATAGACTGAATTTTGATGATAAAATCTTATGAAAGACACGAGTTCAGGATCTGAACTATAATATCCATATACAATACTCAAACCGTTCGTTATCACGTTAGTGTTTCGGACAAACTATGTTTAGCTCTTTTTTTCAACCAGCCTTTTGTATGCCTGTCGAAGACTTGTTACCTAGCAATATTTATTGTACGCTGTAATCGTAATTGATCCTTTAGAGCTTGGATGAAGTTGCATTTGTTTGAAGTCACATCAAAAATAATAGATTAACAATCCCCATCGAAGTAGATAAAACTAGTCGATCCAATATGTAATAATCAGCATTAACCTGCTGGGTAGTTTGATAGTCTTACTCTTACCTTCCTGGAAATTTGTTACAGGTTGCTTTCACTTGTTTTCTGGATTGTAAGTGGACTATATCATGGATTAGTTTAATAGCATTCTTTCTATTGAATAGTTGCGCCATAAGATTTTATTACATGAGACAGATGGTGGTATCACTAAATATATATGAAGGGATAAAGGATCCAGTTGTCACTAATAATCAATATCACATTTAGAAAGAGTTGCGTGTTTTCAATTGGTAAACATATAATTCTGGTCGTCCGTAGTGTTTTTCCTGTTTGTTTCTAAGCAAACTGCCTTACTAAACGGCGTTCTTGTTGACTTTAACTGGCTATTCCTTTCGCCTCTCCTTTGTTTTCACTTTATCTTGTTTGCGCATTTTCTAAAGCCATATCTTACCAGGATTTATCTGCTTCGGGTAAGCATTCAGTGAGAATTACTAACCCAGACAAAATTGTGAGTAGTTTCACATTTTCGTGATGTAACCCACCAAATGTGTATTCGTCGGTCGTGCTGTTGGGTGCCTAGTCTGTTAACGATTACTGTTTAAGGCATTCATTAACAACTGTATTGCTTGATTAGCCAGTAATCTAGTTAGATACTTCAAAGAGATAGTCCACGCAGTGACAACAGATAATCTTCTACTGAATGTAATACTGCTTATTTATTTATTTCAACACATAGATATTGGTACAAAGAGGCACCAAATACATATGCCCCACACAAATCTCATTCGATATGTGTGAGGGCTGCCCGGTTGCCCAAACCGAAGCAGGTGGTTTCCCTAGGGGACCACACCCGAGCCTTCGACCTGAAGGTCTGATCCACAAGCAGTGGAGCATCGTCAGGAGATGCAGTTCCATGGAAGCCGGTGACCAGCGATTGGTTCATACGCCATTTGTCCCCGCAGGATACTGGAGCCCATGTGCACCATTGGTTTGGAATCCGGTTAAAGCGCCGGACATTCGCTTTTCGTCCTCCCATCTTCGTAAACAACACCCCGCCACGAGAAGGCAGTGAGTAGGACTTCCCTGGCAGAGGCTATATACGCGTGGCCATGTGAGAGTATTTCGAGAGGGAGAGCGGACTCTCCACACTCCCGGCTGTACCAGGCCATTTGGGGGCGAGTTCAGTAAATTATTGTACTGAATAAAATTTCATGCTTATTATTTTCATTAAATAATAAGGCCTAATGATCTTACGCACCTGCCCTTAAGTACTGTTAGAACTTACAAAGTGACTATTAGTTTTACATACTAGTCTGAAAAGTTGGATGAACTTCCATTTCGCGTAGGCATACAATCTTCCACTCTTTTCAAAGAAAATTTAATTCATTTCCATCTTAGTGAACAATGACTATGTAAGGTTTTTGCCATTATCTTGTGTTAATTTGAAATGTTAAAGACGTTTGATGGGAAGAACATAACTTTTCATTTGTAAAGTCATTCGGTATAGTAAACCCTGCTTTTTTCATTTCAGGTTCGGCAATTACCGGTCCTGTGGCTAAAGAATGCGCTGATATGTGGCCAAAGATTGCATCAACCGCCAGTTCAATTCATTAGTTAATAAATTTGTACAATTGGCCTACTCTTTGTCTTTTAAACCATCATTCACTAAGTAATGTTTTCAGGTTGGAACTTCTGGCCATCTGATAGGCCTTGGGGGTTCTTCTAAAGACGTCTACTGGTATGATTTGACATCTGTTGGTTAAAAATTGTTTCAAATAGCATAATGTTTGTATGGGCGGTCGAAATCTCGTTTGTTTAGAATGACGTGAAATAGGCACATGAAAAGGAAATTAAGTCAGAGGTGATCTTAGTGACCTGAAAGCGTGACAACTGCTTGAGGTCGGTCACACACGACCTTCTTGTGGGTAATTTTCTTGTTAGCTGCGTACTTGTTGGGACCTTACCGCCGGAGATCCGTAGAGTAAGGTGAGATGTGACATTTTCAGGGTTGACCTTTTCTAACCCTTCCCATTACGAAAAGGCAGAATTTCTACAGATCGTGGTTGCTTGAGGGAAACAACTCACTGCTGCCACACTGTACGGCAAACAGTACTACTTCGCCCTCTGACCTCTTCTAGTTTTACTGTCCTTTAATAGACCTGCCTGGCATGGTAAGACCTTGAGGGACAATTGCTCCAGCCACTATAGCTCGATTGGTTCATCACGATAAGCAAACCAAACGACCACGTCAATTTAGCAGTACCAACCGGGGCAGCATTGTAAGGTACGACGCGACTGAGTTTGGTCCTACTCAGTTTGGCCACATCAATGGGATCTACATAATCGTTGTTCTCTAAATTGAAAACTCAGACTTAATGCTTTCTATTAAAACAGCTTTTTTGGTTCATAAAGCCTTAGGTTGGTATGCAAAGCATTTCATTAGTCCTAGCGGATGCGATAGTACAAACTAAATGGGAACAACACTGGCTTTTGCTATGCGGTGTCGTCGCCGCATATGTCTGACTTAGGATTGATGTTAAAGCGTGGTGTGAGGACTCAGCCCAAGATGTCCACATACGACAAGCGACAATCTCAGTAAAGTGTGGAGATAATTTGGCTCAATGATCTGATTGTAACTATAGGATGAGGAGTGCTGATAATACGTCGTCTTGAATGTTTTGCTTCTGTATGGATCCTCATGTCATACTCTCGACATTCCTATGGATTCCTTAATATATACAGATATTTTACAACCGATGGCCATCGACCTGGCGTGCATAACATTCCTAAGTGTTAACGGTTCCTGATTATGTCAAGTAATACCCCTCACTCGCGTATAGTATTACCAGTGCGGTACAAGAACCATGTGGATGAAAAGACTGTATGGTAATTGTTAGTTCACAAAGTTTATATCTAAGACATGTGGGCGAATATCGCAAAGCAGGATTCAATAGCATGGACAATAGTAGCGTTTTAACTTGGTTTCTAAGCAGTCGAGTTATCACTGGTGTAGCAAGTATCCCGGAAACAATACGGTGCGCCTCATTGTATGTGCTCGGTCCTAGGGATGTGATGAATATGTTCCCAAGATAACGGTCGAATGGATCGGCCCCAGGGTTCCATCAGCCAATGATAGAACCCTGGGACGGATACGAAAACCTCAGCGTTACTCACCAATCCCACAGGGAAATATTCGTCTATCTATCAAAGGAATACACAAAACTTCAGTCCTCTTAGTCTTATGGTATAAGCTGCTGATATTTGGTCATAGAACTACTAACATGCTAATGGAACAACCAGATGGAATTAAGGTAACTGAGAGATGTGGTAAATTGGTCAACGAAGCCGTAGATTTCTATTCACTGAAGTGGCTGATATACGTGTTATACAGACTTGGCCGCCGCCTACACCAACGTGCAATGGTGACTAACAGAAGTTCATTAGAAATAATCAAGAGACACCCAAATCAATACATTCACCAATCTAAGGAGCCGAATCGAAATTCACAAGACAATCCTAATGAATGGTAGATAACCTACCTTGTTGGCTCAAAATTTGTCGCAGTAGCGTGGATATATTTACTTTTCGTTTTCCGTCAAATTTTGGATTGTAAAATTATTTTATACCTCTTATTCATTAATCGCATCTAATCCAATGAAGCCGCATCCTTTGTTAATTTTTCGTGTTATCATTGATACTGCTAATGATCGTTAATATATATCTTGTCAACTTCAGTTGGTAGACATTTGAACCAGAGTACCGTGAATTACTATATTTTTACCAAATCTCTGCAGGGTTTGGTATTTTCGAAACAAAGCTTTGCAAACAATCTACATACGTAAACGTTTTGTACAGCTTTTAAAGAATGAGCTCTCATCAAATAAAGCTAGTCTTATACAGGACGAAATTTGGTAGTTTGCAAGAACTTGATTAAGATGCTCGTTTCGAACTATTTAAACATTAATCCATACTTATCCATCTATGACTTTAGAGAATAAACTAACGAAAAGTGAAAGACTAGTAAAATGTATTTATGTTAGGATGGGAGATAAATACAAGTAGTAATAATTATATATCTTCAGATGCCTCTAATGTACCAGTGGAATTGATCATTTGACTTGCAGTAACACCATCGGGAAAATGCTTTTCTACTAATTGTAAGAGTTGGTCAGTTTGACTGTTAGATAATCGAGAATCCAAATCACTGATTATCTACAAAAAATCCAGATAAATGTAATCAACAATCTGCTGACTCCAACACAGTATTAAACAAGCCTGCTTTTACATTAAAACCGAGAAATCAAAACCAAGAAAAATATTGACTGTAATCTAACTAAATATCTTCCACAGTGGAAATAATTTTCCAGAAATTCCTGATATACACAGTCGAGACTAGGCCCTTGAAGCAAACATTGATAAGACTATGAAGACAACTTTAGTCGATCCACGTTCCCAAAAAAATTTTCGTCACTGAAACGAAGTGAGAATTGAAAACATCGTGTCATTCTCAGTAGATTGGTTCTCTCATTCCATCTATTACGCACTATATACTTGCTTCGTGTAATTGTGGGTTTATACTGGTACGCTTTGAAATGAGCTGAAGAAGTTGTGGAGTAAAAATAGTGCTTTTCAGTTGGACTATATGGTACACCTATAATAATACACAAAATATTTTTCGACTAACCCATCATAAATAGCGCAAATACTTAGACCTACTTTACTTCAAAGGCTTATTAAAGTTAGGTATCATGAAAAGCACAATACAAAATAACTATGTGAATAAATGAAAGTGGAAAATCACCTAGCATTATTGAAAAAATACGCAAATAACTCATAAATATCCACGACAGGTTTCGTTTCTCCCCAAAGATATGCCTTACTGATCCTGAAGAGCATAAAATACAGCTCCACTAAGACGGCCGCTGACAAACTGACTGCCTTTCTCAACTAATCTTAGTATCATGAAAGTTTCATATGGAAATCACGTAGACAACATAAGAGGTGTCAGCGACTCATATTTTTTAGACCATCACCAACGTTACCATAACACATAGAATTACCAGTATTTACAAGCTGTTGTAAGCGAAGCAATTTTTAAGAAACATGATCAAACACGATCACTGAGTATCTTTACCTTAACTATTAAGGCTATAGATGGAAATAAATCAACCACCTTGTTTGAAAACGCATCTTATTTAGGTAAATATATGGATAGTGGAATGACATTTTAGTTCACCAAGTATTCGAGAAACAGTTAAATACTTTACACCAATCTACTTATTGCAGCTGTCATATAATAAGTGCACAAATTATAGTTCATAGTCAAACAAACGCAAGCACCAGACGGGAAATGTCGTCCATAAAACCACACAACCTAATCCATTATAAAATGATTAGAAACCAAACTCTTCACTTCATATGATTAGTCTTAGACCGACTTGGATACTGTTTACAATTAATTGAGCTCGACGAAGCACACCAATTAAGAGTGGCTGAAAAATATGGCTGGTGACTATGACTGAAACCAACCTACATAATATTTATATTGACTGGAGATACTGTGAAAGTTTGCTGGGGCAACCGATGATAAGCAAACAAAGCTGCACTAGATTTGTGTTTGAAAAACTAAGTTACCTGTGAGTGACTAACTGGAGTTATGAGAATAATTACAGTACTATTTTAGTCAACCCAATACTTCTGTTGTAGACAATTCTGCAAAATTATACAAGGGTGCTCCAAAAAAGTCACTATCTTTGAAATGACGTTTTATATTACGTGACTGAATTTAAGCTTTGGAGAATAAATTGAGATGTGTAGTCGGGTGCCAATAGCTGTCAACCACAAATAACAACATCGACAGTTACTCCCGAATGGTTTACAAAGACGTTCGACGGAACTATCTTCAAAGGAATGTAAAGAAGCTTGACTGTAGTAGAATATCTATTTTTAGTAGTAACATATACACAAAAACAAATGACATTACATTTAGCGGTGAGAACGTGTATCTATCATATACATGGAACTATGTTAAAAAAACAATAGGACTCACTACTGATAGCTCCACTTGACTACTGGGACAGTGATTGATAAGCATGAGAATCTCAGATTTTGTTAAATTAAATACCTTGACATCATTAGCAAATCCCTGTACTCCTGATTCTTCCTGTTTGCTACAAGGTGATTTGGTATTTAAATACTTTGCGCCCGTATACAATAGCGTTTGCTGGCGCCTGACTTTCTTTTTAGATTCAAGTTTATCTTTGATAAGCTTCAGAACTTCAAGATTTGTTAAAAGCCTGGGATTTTGGGGATCAATGAGTTCCATTCAACAACTTGAAATTAAGAATGATATTTTATCGGTTGGACTCTAAGTTTCGCTTAACTATTACAGCTCCTGTCCAGAATACAAATCCCCAAGATATGGAAACAAGGACGAAACATAAAAACCAGAACAATTTTTGCCGCGCGTGACGAGGGACTTGGTACATCCCGGGTGATAGCCAGGCAACTATCCGAGAAACACAAAATGCCATTCAATGTTCCAAGTCTCGATTTTCACACTTATGAAGTCTTACGAGAAAGAAAAAACAGGATGTTGGGGGAATGGTTATTAAATCGGATTCTAATTCAAAAGTTTATAAGTTTAAATGGTTCCGTACGGTTCAAATGGTTCAAATGGTTGTGGACGGAATAGAAGAAGCTTTCGCTTAACAGGCTTCCGTGTCTAGTAGCAGGGGATCACCAAATCCTCCAGGCAGGAACCTAGGTATGTTAACAATAAAAGAGGAAAAGAAATTGGTAAATCATAGTGTGATGCTGTCCTTGGTCCTTAAGAATAGGTCAAGTTGCCTCTTGAAGGACTCCTGAGAAGTCGCTTGGACTAGCTCGGCCGGCAGCGAATTCCAGCTTTTGACAACTCTTAAGGAGTAGAAGTTGTGTCTACATTCCGTCTTGCTATGTTGTGTTTCCAGTTTCTGGGTGTTACCCCTTAGGTTATATTCGAACTAAGCTTAAGTAGGTGTTTAAGAGGATGTCCAGAAGTGTTAAGAATACTATAAGCCATTAATAAATCACCTCTAAGACGCCTATATTCTAATGGGTAAAGGTCTAGTGAACGGAGGCGTTCTTCGTAAGGCTTAGATTTGAGTCCTCGAACTGATTTCGTGGCTCGCCGTTGGATACGCTCCAAAGTGACCTTGTCCTTTTGGAGTGAGGGGGGAGTACTATGTTTCCGTACTCTAAATGGGGACGGATGAAACTATTGAAGATTGTGTGGAAAGTTCGTCCGTCAAACTGTCCAAAAATGCGCTTCAACGTTACCAGTGCAAGGTTTGCTCGGAAGGCATTTTTGTCACAGTTAGCGTAAGACTTTAAATCATGGGGCACCAGGACTCCTAAATCTTTTTCGACTTGGGATACTACTAGAGAGGAGTTTCCTAAGTTGTAACTGTAGTTTGCAACATGTCGCAGATGGACTACTTTACACTTTGAAGTGTTAAAGGTAAGTCCGTTATCGTCTGCCCAACTTTGAAGTCGAGTCAGATCCTCCTGAAGTGCCTGTATATCGTCTTGGTTGCGTATCTCTCTCCAAAGTTTCACGTCGTCGGCAAAAAGTAATAAGTCTGACGTTACCTGTTGAGGAAGATCATTTATGTAGATCAAGAAGAGAAGAGGCCCTAGTACTGAGCCCTGGGGGACCCCACTAGGACATTCCATAGCCTGAGATAAAGTGAAATTAACCCTAACCTTAAAGTGTCGATTTTTTAGGTATGAAGTAAGCCAATCGATTAGAGGTGGTTTGATACCTAGTCGTTTGAGCTTGTTGATAAGACACAAGTGGTTAACCTTATCAAAAGCTTTTGAGAAATCAAGGTAAATGACATCAACCTTTCCCTTGCGATCGAGGATGCTTGTCCATCTGTCCACCGCAGTCAGCAGGTTGGTTATACAAGAGTAACCCTTCCTGAAACCATGCTGTTGGGGTGAGAAGAAATTTAAGGACAGTAGATAGTCATTTAAACCGTCGCATATCAGGGACTCCATGAGTTTTGAAGGTAATGACAGAAGAGCCACCGGCCGATAACTTGAAGGTTCATTGCGTCGACCACCTTTGAAAATTGGTGTGATGTGAGCCAACTTCCAATTTTCCGGTAATTTGCCTCGGCTAAGCGAGTGTGAAAACATCACGCTAAGCGGCGTTGCCAGGATTGAGGCTGCCTCCCTCAGTATGGCAGGATGAACCATATCCGGGCCAGGAGAAGTGTCTAGTCTTAAGTGCTGCAATTTCCGGAACACCAAGTCAGCGCTTAGGTCCACTTCAGAAAGTCCTGTGGAATTGCAGATGAAACTGTCGTCAGTAAAGTTGATGTCAGCCGGTTGAAATGTTTGAGAGTAATGTGCCGCCAGAAGGTTAGCGGCGTCGCCATCGTTGTTGGTCGGGCCGTTAAGACCTAGCAGTTGAGAAACTCCTGTTTTGGCTTGACGAAGAGAGGCTGCATAACGGAATAGGCTTCTAGGGTTAGAGGCGAATTTGTCCATAAGCTTTGTTTGGTACTGAAGCCTGTCTTCTCTTATAGCCTTCGTGCATATGTTCCTGATATGTTTATATTGCCTATACGCTCCATCGTTATTAGTTCGTTTGTATTCCGCCCAACAGTGCCTTTTGCGGCTTAGCAGGCGAAGGGTACGGTTCTTGATTACTGTAGGTGGCTTGCAGCTTTTGGGAACCGTTTGAGGAACTGAATGGTTTGTAGCACATAAGAGCGTGTGCAGTAAGAAGTCCCAATGACCGTCCACATCGAGTTGGGGGTGAACGATCCTGGACGGAATAGAAGAAGCTTTCGCCTAACGGGCTCCCATTTCTTGCGGCGGCAGATCATCCGTGCCTCCATGTAGGGACCTAGGTATATTTGAAGATAAAACAGAACAAATGCCTGTAAATTATGGTGAGCTAATGTCTGTAGTCTTTAGGGATCCGTCAAGTTTAAACTTGACCGTATAAACAGTTCGATGGACGAAAACACCTTGCCACTAAAGAGTGAGAAGCCGAAGAGGTCAGTGCAATAATCTCACTAACATCTTGTAAAAATGCATTAGATCGTAAAGACGGGTTTCTTTGACATGGATGTGCCTGAGATGAAGGCTGGCAATAGCCACGTTCAATATCCCAAATTTGGCTTTTTGACAGTACAGGTGCATTAACTAATCGGTCTCTGTCATTGTCTATCAACCAATAATACCTTGTGAAACTGCACGATATAGCGACGCAAGGTTATTTTCACGACATGAGAGACAAATTAAAAAGGCGTAATAGAAGGAAACAAGAACACGTATATACTAATTTAAAGTGATAACTATTCTCTACTGCTCTATAACTACAGTCTTCAATGTTAACAAACATAACCGTAAGTGAAGATTCAAGTAGCTAGTTCTGTGGAGAGGCATATCATTCAGATATCGCCGTTACTTTTTTGTTCTTTACATTTCAGAATTCACAATAAGATTATCGTGATTGTCAATAGTCGAACAGGCGTTGCGAAACGAAATAATCAGTGCAATATCTAACATGTTCAACTTTGTTTTCAATAAACATTTTTTTAAACACGCGCTTACTTTCTTACTTGCATGAGAAACTCTTTGACTAAGTGCTGAGGAAGCCTGTTTGATTTTAAATGAACTTGAAATTGAGTACACGTGCCTTATTAACAGTACATCGTCTGTTCTTTCTTTTGTAAATCTTTTCAAATTACAAAAAGACTTGGTAATTACAGTTAAATCACACAACGATTGATGCTCTGGTATCTGCTAACTGCTCATAATGTTGTACAATACCATGCTTTTTTCTTTTCAATAAATTTCGCCAAACACATACCATTTTTTACTTGGATTGCAGTTTTCGTGTGTTGTGTTGTGGGAATGAAGGAGAACACATGAGACGTTCGGGGTTTTGTCACAGGTGTTTTTAAAGTGGAAGCAAAATTAGAGAAATCAGCGTGTATATAGGCGAAAAATAGACAATTTGGAATTTATTAATGCAGACTATTCAGCGACATTTGAAACACAGCAACATAGAGAGGCAAACCAGCATTATTTCCCTCAGACAGGCTAGAAAGCAGACATTTTTGTGCGTCTCCCCATTATCTCCTCTTTATTTTCCAAGGCATTTTTCCTTTCATTTCCCAGTTGTTCACCTTTATTTGCCCTTTACTGGATGTTTAGGTTTCTTTTAGAAGACTCCTAGAAAGTCCCTAGATTAGCTCAGTCGCCAGTGAATCCCAGAGTTTAACTACTGTTAGCATTAGAAAGTGTGTTCTTTGGTCCGCTCTGGTATGTTTTAACCTCAGTCCTTGTGCGTTCCCCTTAGGTTTTTGTTGAGGCTTAGGCTAACTAGATATTCAAGTGGATGACTGGAAGTGTTTAAGATGCTGTATGTCATTAGGTCATCTCAGTAGCGCCAATACTCTATCCGACAAAGTTTCACTGACTTGAGGCTCTCTTGATAAGGCTTGAACTCGAGTCTACCGACTGATTTCGTGGCTCACCGTCGGATACATTCCAGTTCTTATACTTGTGAGAGAGGGGAAAATACCATTTTTCTATACTATGAATGGAGTCGTATAAAACTGTTGAATACTAAGTGGGAAAATCTGCCGTCAAATTTGCCAGAAATGTGCCTCAACGTTACCAGTGCAAAGTTTGCTCGAAAAGCCTTTTCGTTGCAGTTGGCGTAAGTCTTCGGTCAGCAGTCTACCAACACTCATAGAACTTTTTCAATTTGAGATACCTCTAGAGGTGGATTGCCTAAGTTGTATACATAGTCTGCAACATGTCTCAGATGGGCCACTATACACTTTGAAGTGTTAAATTTAAGTTCAATGTCATCTGCTCAAGTTTGGAGTCCAGTCTAATTTACCTGAATCGCGAGCTGATCTTAGTCGCAAATTTCTTTCCACAGTTTCACATCGTCAGCGGAAGGTAACAGTTCTGATGATACTTGTTGGGGAAGGTCATTTATAAAAATGGAGAAGAGAATAGGTCCTAGAAATGAACCCCGGGTAACCCAACTAAGATATTCTGTAGCCTGAGAAAAATTGAAGTTCAGCCTAGCCCTAAAATGATGACTTTTTAGGTGTGAATTAAGCTAATCAAACAGTGGTGACTTGATATCTATTCTTTTGACCTCATTGATATGATTAACCATATCGAAAGCTTTTGAGAAATCAAGGCGAATGAAATCAACCTTCCCGTTGCTGGTTGTCCATTTGGTCAACGCGGTAAGCAGGTTTGTTATAAAGGAATGACACTTACCACAACCGCGCTGTTAGTGTGGAAAGAAGTTTATGGATGGCAAGTATTCAGGTAGACCGTCGTATATCAAGGAATCTATAATTTGTAGGGTACTGCTGGTCGGTAGCTTGATGGTTCTCAGAGTTTGCCTCCTTTGAAAATTGACGTAATGTGAGCCACCTTCCAATTTTCGGGTAATATGCCTTGGCTTAGAGAATGTGAGGATATAA